ATTATTTTTTTTTTTTGAATATTGTTTCATCGCCAGCTCGAAAAAATGAATGCCCAAATACAGAAGGTAGTCTTTCTCCTTCTCTGGATGACATGTATGATCGTGGAGGTGTCCATCCTCGCGTAACAGAGCAGCGGTTCTACCCAAGTGAAAAGAAAACGCCGAAAAGACTGATTACCGAAGTAACAAGCAGACACAGCAGATGGTGAAGATAAGTCATCTGTGGTTGCTCCTGCCTTCTCTTTCTTACTGTATGTATGAACATAGTGATAGCCTGTCGATTCAAGAGCCAAGTTATTCTCAACATTACAGTTCTGTGAAATGACTGGATATGAATCATCAATGCAGGCATGCTCAATGGCGGAAGCCTTCTCTTGACTGTGAACAAATGAGTTTCGTTTCCAATGAATGGCCAAGGCTATTGGCAATATTCTCTATTTTGGATGATCATGCTGGCCTGCGTTCTTCCGCATGCATTTCCTCCATTCGATGGGTACACTGCTACAGCAGCGAGAACACCACATCGGCATGGAGGTGTTACATTCGGTGGACCTTCTGGGATGAAACACTACACCAAACTACACTGTTCAGCCAGAATGGGAATGCCCTCCTGGCAGTGAAGATGCCTGATGGATTGCATATGCATTCCGAATTTTCATATTTTGGTGGAAATATGTTTGTATTTACAAATCAGGCGATGGGCATTTCCACTCTAAACATCCCCAGCAGCGACCAAATAGCGAATCCTAACATCGTACCATGACTTCCCAAAAGGCTGCCGCAAACGTCAAGGTAGCTATTACCAGCAGGGATCGTTCAGTCCAGCTCTGCACGGGACTGTTCATAAACAACGAGTTCGTGGAAGGACGTGGCGAGACCATCGTTTCCATTAATCCAGCCGATCAGGCCGTCCTAGCCGCGGTGCATTCGGTTCGTCCATCGCCCGCTTGACTGACACTGTACACAAATTCAAGCTTGGAACTGATGGAGAACTCAGGCCTCAGTGGATGATATAGATCAAGCGGTGAAGGCCGCGAGGCAAGCGGCAAACACAAGTTGGGGAACCAACACACCAGCCACCGAGCGTGCTAGTCTGATGAATAAATTAGCAGATGTATGTACATATGATTATGCTCGATAAAACATCGGACAACTTGACTAACCACGAGCAAATCGTGCAACATGGCGCATTCCTCCCTCAGATCATGGAAGCCCGATTAGAAGATCTCGCAGTGTTAGAAACGTTGGATTCCGGGAAGGGTATCACTTGGGCCCGCGGCGACATAACCGAGAGTATCGGCGCTTTCAGGTACTATGCTGGCTTGGCGTTTTCCGGAACCGACGGACAGGTTTTGGAAGGCTGCGATGCCACAGGAATCTCGTTTACTCGACAAGAGCCTTTGGGTGTCGTGGCTCAAATCGTCCCATGGGTCAGTCTTACTTCTTTTCAATATGTACCACAGTCTGGCACTGGAAAACTAAGCATGACTCACATCTAACATTGTGCGGTACGCCTCACTACACAGAATTATCCTATCATGGTCAGTTTGGAAGAAGAAGTAAAATCATGCAAATCCAAAGTACTAAAAGCGTTGACCTTCTTGGCTCCAGATGATGGCGTGGAAAGTGGCCCCGGCTCTCGCAGCAGGATGCGCGATTGTTTTCAAGCCAGCGGAACTTACCCCGCTCGCGACGCTTTTATTTTGTGAAATGGTGCGGGATGCAGGCTATCCTGCGGGGGCCTTCAATTGCGTCAATTCGTATGGGCCCGTAGGTGGTCATGCTCTTGCCTGCCACATGGATGTCGACAAGATCGCTTTCACCGGAAGTACGAATGTTGGCAAGCAAATCGCCGTCCAGGCAGCTAGGAGTAACTTGAAGAAAGTCGGGTAAGTTACTCTAGTGCATCCAGATCATATTTTGCGTGTTCACGTTTTTTTGCCTACCCTATTGATTCCGGCTTGGGCTTCAAAACAACGACTCAAAGACTAGAGCTGGGTGGTAAGAGTCCTAACATTGGTAAGCTTCTAAACTGAACAACTTGGATGAAAACTTCGAGTTCGAGCCGAAAACTGAGATTTTGGACTCGATTGTACCAGTCCTCAAATCTGCGAACATAGAGCAAGCTGCCGCCTGGTGTTGCTTAGGTATCTTCGAGAATATGGTTTGTCATTTCGTCCTTCCTGTGGGAGAACTTCAAACTAACAGACTTTGGAAACCGGAAATAGGGCCAATCATGCACAGCCGCTTCAAGAGTTCTTGTGCATTCGTCAATCTACGACGAGTTCTTGTCAGCATTTATCAAGAAGGCTTCCAGCCACAAGTTGGGGGATCCATTTGATCCCGAAACCTATTCTGGGCCCCAAATATCGAAAGCTCACCTCGACCGCATCGACGGCTACGTCAAGAGCGGAGTTTCCGAAGGTGCCAAGATCGTTTTGGGAGGAAACAGGGTTCACAAAGTTAAGAAATTTAACGCCGAAGGCCAGTGGATCGAGGGTGGAAACTTCTTCGAACCGACGATCTTCGTTGACGCTACACCATTGATGAAAATAGTGAAAGAAGAGATTGTGAGGATCCATTTTTCTTCCCGTGATGAACTCATCTCCTGACTGAGAGTTCCCTCCAACGCATTGTCAACAGTTTGGACCAGTCGCGGTGGTGATGAAATTCGAGACGGTAGAAGAGGCGATCCAGATGGCGAACGATACCGAGTATGGGCTGGCCGCTGGTATCCACACTGAACAGCAAGACGAGGTCGTCCGGGTGGCAGCCAAGTTGAAGGCCGGCACGGTCTGGTAGGTCGATCCCCGAAAAAGCTCATGAACAGCCTGATTGAAAAACGAATGTGACTGATTGTGTTCTTCTCGTTTTTCCACCAGGATAAACTCGTACGCCTTTTGTCCCGTGAACGTGCCCTTCGGTGGATACAAGTCCAGCGGCTGGGGACGTGAATTAGGCAAAAAAGGTCTCGAAGAGTACACCATTACCAAGGTAAAAAACACACGCAGATTTCTTATACCACATTTCAGTTCCTTCTCGTATGTGATTTTTGGGCTGACCAAGTGGAATGATGGGTGCTTCATCTCCTCAGAGCTATCAATGGAATTACGCTCAGAAGTTCTCGTGGCCATTTGATCTGGAAGGAGTGTCCAAGTTGTAGAAAACTTACTCCTGCTACGACACACAAGCCGTGAATGTGGATAAAAATGAGCTTCAAAACACGACCTAGTTCTTGGGTCCCCCCACTATGTCGGACTCGACTAATGTTGATCCTCTTCCTCGACCTCTGCATACGCTTCTTTTTTTTGTTCCTCTGATTCTTGTAGCTCTCGCCCGTTGCCCTCTCATCCAATAATTTCCGACACACGAAGAAAAAA